GGGTCCGGGTCTGGATCTGGGTCTGGGTCTGGATCTGGGTCCGGGTCCGGATCTGGATCTGGGTCTGGGTCCGGGTCTGGATCTGGGTCTGGGTCTGGATCCGGATCTGGGTCTGGGTCTGGATCTGGGTCTGGGTCTGGATTTAGATTTATCTCCAAGGTTTGCAGCAGAGACATGGAAAGCGTATTTTGACATTTTATTGCATGACAAGTGCAAGTGTTGTTTTTCTTCATTTTGAGAGAAACAAATGCTGGATCTGGATCTGGGTCTGGATTTAGATTTAGATCTGGGTCTGGATTTAGATCTGGATCTGGATTTGGATCCGGATCTGGATCTGGGTCCGGGTCTGGATCTGGATCTGGATCTGGATCTTGCTGACAGCTCTATTTTTTTACTTTTTTTTTGTATTTTTGGTCAGTTTTAGCTTTGTTTTTGCCTTTTTTGGTGTATATTTTATTTTCTCCCCACAGGAAGGACTTTCCCCAAAAAGGGCCAGACGTGTGTGGTTCATTACGTAGGTGAGTCCCCGATCTTATCATATTTTATATTTCTTTTTTCAAATTGCACTTTACATGTCCACTTCAATATACTAAATTAAATACAAATTCTAGTCATAAGGAATTATTACATGATTACTCCACCAGTCACTAGAACAGCACAGACACTCAAAAATTTAATATTATTTGCAGATAATTAATTCCTTATCAAAAAATCTTTAGTCTAGAACAGCGTTTTTCAACCTTTTTTGAGCCAAGGTACATTTTTTCATAGAAAAAAATCACGAAGCACACCAACCAAAATGTTAAACTAATCTGTATCCGCCTATAGTAACACTATAGTTATTCTTATCTTATTCTTATCTTATCTTAAGTGTCTTGAATAGGAATTAAATAAACACAAAAATGTATTTTTATCATATTTTACATTTCTTTCAAAAAACCCAAATCAGAAACCCAAATATCCTATCTCAAAATATTAGAATATCGTTTTTTTTAGTTTTCTTAAGCTGTAAGCCATAATTAGCAATATTAAAACAATAAAAGGCTTGCGATATTTCAATTGATTTGTAATGAATCCAGAATGTATGACATTTCACGATTTGTAATTGCATGACAGAAAATAAAGAACTTTATCACCATATTCTAATTT